ATACAATTTAGTGATGGCCACTGAATAAATTGTACTATCGGATATTATTCGATTATTCGTATTGACTATCGAATAATAATTTAAATAATATTATAAAAGACTGAATAATCAAAACTATCGAATAATAAAATATATAACTTAATAATTAAAATTATCGAATAATTATTCGAACAATCCCACACAGCATTTTTCAATGTAAACGATTAAATAAATATTAATTTTGAATTGAAATTGAAATATTTAAAATTAAAAGTTAATTCTACTTTAATATATATTTTATTTTTTTAGTAAATTTTCAAATATTTAACAGTAATTAATAATTATTTAATTATAAATATTTTATTTTCAATAAACATTTTATAATTTAATAATTTAAATATTTAACATTTATTTAATATTGTAAGATTAATTACAATTTAATTTTAAAAGTGAACATTGATGTTATATTTATATTTTAAATACAATTTTTGTAATCTGTTCATTGGAAAAATGAACATTTTATTTCCAATTAAATTATATGATTAAACTAATATTAAGATATGACATAAATGAATATTAACATTTAATATGTTATAAATATAGAAATGTGTTGTTGTTGCGATTTCTTAATCAGCGGGGAAAACCATGTAACGACCGTTGTTTCCGTTGCGCATACGCCGCGACCGCTTTGAAAACGCTGATAAACCGCTACAAACTCAATACTCATTATTTATAGAAGAGTCTACTTATGTTATTATTACGTAACTTGATAATTTATTATTCGTCCAGTGGTGCTACATAGTACATAGTGTTAGTACATTGTGCATTTGTGCATCACAATTCACAATTCACACTCACAGTCATATTATAATTTAAGACATTTTGTCTCCGCGCGTATGCCGTAGATGGTAGATGTATTTATTATATTGTATCGTTCGCGTTTTTTATATTTTATAATTTGTATCAAAGACGCGCCTTACAGTTGTCCAGTTATCGAGTATTCCAGCAATACAAATTCAGTTGACGTGACATTTTGTCTCCACGCGTATGCCGTATATGTGCTTTATTATTATTGTATCGTTCGCGTTTTTATATTTTATAATTTATGTCAAAGACGGTTCAGTCGTCCAGTTGTCCAGTAATACAAATACATTTGACGTTGTATACCTATACATTTTCGGTAAGTACCTGCTACTTTTTCATTATCGTGCTCCTTATTATTGTTATTAATATTATAAAATATAACTACTTACGAAAACGATGTAGACAGAATCAGAATGAATAGAACAATATAAAAACTGTAATAGTTAATTAAACAAATAGCTAGATATTAAATTACATTTTGTATTACCTACGTATATTGTTAATTCTATATAAACTTATACATGTATTTAATGGCGGGCTAGTGTGGTCAAATTTCGACCATAGACGAATTGCGCCTAAAACAAAATTTTCGTTTAAGGTATATAGGTATTAATACATTTCCTACTTGAACAAGTAGTTTGATAACTTATTACTTATAAAATAAAGGTATTATTATAAACCTAAATTATTTAAGTATGTTGTAGCCTTGTGTAAGTAGTGTATTAAGATTAAAATATATTTTATAAATCATGTTATTCATATTATGTACCTACATCAAAATTAATATTTATGATATTGGAATAGTCTTCAATTGTTAACAATACTCTGACCTTATAAGTTTTTCATTACAATTTAAAGTTAATTATAAATTTGCTTTTCCTTTTAAAAAGGTTATTGGATGAAGTAAAATTTGATGCCGATATTTGAAAGTTGCAAATGTAATGTATCAAGCTAAATGTTTTATATTTATGTCAATAATTTTTATATCTGTATAACTGCCTACTTATAAATTATAAATTTACCGCTTCAGACGTGGTTAATAAGTTTTAGTTGTTTAATTTCTTTGTTTTACAAAAAATTATTAATAGTTAGAAGTTAGCTGGTCGGTAGTAAAGTGTTTTCATTAATTGTGTTTATTTTATAACTATTGCCATATTTTACACTAATATTATTTTGCTATAGGTAATATATGTCATACATATAATAATAATCATTATTTTCTTTTATATTAATTATAAATATGTCTAGTCAATCTGAAAGTAAATCTACTAAGCGTAGAAGATATCTGAATGATATGGAAACCATTGATTTTATTGTTGAAAATCAAGAACAATTAAACTTTTTACCACAACCAAGTACCTCCATAGATAATGATAATGACTTAGTTGTAGAAAGCCATGATATATCATCTCGTAGTGTAATTGTTAATGATGATATTTTTTCTAATAATATTAATACTGATGATATATTTAACTTTTCTTTTTCAACTATTAATTTTGATGATAATAATGTAGACATATCTGATTATTATGATCTACAAAATGAATCATGTAGCTCTGATTCTAATGATGAATATTCAATAAATTCTAATAATATTTTATATGATAATCAATGTTTAATTCTTAAACTTATTGCTAACTGGACAATTGAACATAATATTACATTATCTGCACTATCTGCTTTATTAAAACTTTTAAAAAATCATAAATGTTTCAGTCATTTTCCAGTTGATGCTAGAACTGTGTTAAAGACACCTAATAAACCTAACAAAATTCAAACTATTCAATCTGGGTATTATTACCATTTTGGTATTGCAAATGGTTTGAAATCTCATTGTAATTTTTCAATTATTAAAGAAAATATAATTAAATTGGTTGTTGGTATTGATGGTTTGCCGCTAACAAAAAGTTCCTCTAGCGCCTTTTGGCCAATTCTTGCATATGCTCGGTACAGTTCTTGTAAATCTAATGTTTTCTTAGTTGGTCTTTATTGGGGGAAAGAAAAACCACAGTGTAGTAATTCATTTTTAAAAAATCTTGTTGATGAACTTAAATTTTTAGCAGAAAATGGTATGGATACTGCTTATGGTAGAAAAAATGTCAAGGTAGAAACATTTTGTTGTGATACTCCAGCTAAGAGTTTTATTTTAAACACCAAAGGGCATGTTGGATATTATTCCTGTCCAAGGTGCACCGTTGAGGGTGAACGTATAAATAATACCATGTGTTTTTTAGGTACAAATTTTCGCAAAAGAACTCATTTAGATTTTATAAACCGTGTCGATGATGAACATCATATAGGCAATACAATATCAATTTTAACTGAAATACCTTATATAAATATGGTGGACGATTTCAGTATTGATTATATGCATTTGGTATGCTTAGGCATTGTTAAGAAATTGATTTTATTATGGTTGGGTATATTTAAAAAATCCCCTGTAAATGTTCGCATACAAAGTCGAAATGTACATGTAATTACCAATCGTCTCTTATTTAATAAAAAATATGTAACTGTTGATTTTTCAAGAAAACCTAGGGGATTAAATGATATAATGAGGTGGAAAGCAACAGAGTTTAGACAGTTCTTACTTTATACTGGGCCAATAGTGCTAAAAGGAATTTTACTGGATGAATGTTATATTCATTTCATGTGTTTACATGTAGCCTTTAGAATTCTTTTATGCCCTGTAAGTACTGAAAAATTGGTCAATTTCAGTGAAAAACTTCTTATACATTTTGTTGAAAAATTTGAAGAAATATACGGACCTCAATTTTCATCTCATAACATCCATGGGTTAATCCATATAGTAGATGATTATAGGAAATTCGGCTCTTTAGAGGAATGCTCATGTTTTCCCTTTGAAAACTACATGAAGTTCTTAAAAAAAATGGTAAGAAAACATGAGAGGCCATTAGAGCAAGTAATTAAACGCTATCAAGAATTTTTAACCTTTAGTGAATCTAAATTAAATACCAATCTACACAATGAAATAATATACAAAAAAAAACATGTTAATGGACCTTTACTTGAACACTTTACTACCGTTCAGTTCCAAATCATTATTAAAAATAGAATTAAAATAGATATAAAGTCTATTTCAGATTGTTATATAGGTTATGAATATGATAAACAATTATGTATTTTTAAAGTATTAAATATTTGTAAAGATTCTATTAATGATAGATATGTATTTTTGGCTAAAAAATTTAATAAAATTTGTTGTTACTTTGAAAAACCTATGAATAGCTTAAAGTTAGGCATAGCATTAGTTGATGAATTATCAGCTGCAGAAGATTACACTATAATTGATATAGAGTTAACAGAATTTTCTAAGTATATGATATTATTTGATAATGATAATAATAATGTAGCATACCCCATTTTACATACTCTTGATGTTATTTAATTAATTAGTTAAATTAGGTATATTTATAATTATTAATTTTATGTATAAATACAACTTAAATAAATTGACTTACTTATTTATTTTATTTTATTATTTACTATTATTATTAATTCTGAATTGAAAAAAATGATGATTGTTAATATTTAAATAATATGTGTATAGGTACTTACCCTTTTAAATTATTTTAATTTTCTATGATATTTATTATTATTTAATATTTTTATTTATTGTTGTATTATTATAGTATTAAAATGGCAACTTATTCAGTAGTTCACTTTTTCGGTGATGACTCTGTAGAACCTGTACCTAGTATTTGGATTTCAAAAAATGGGACTTGTGCATGGCCAAAAAATGGAGCTTTGATTAAAAAATACATACAACTAAAAACTATTCCTAATGAAATTGAATTTGTTTATCATAAAGCAAGAGTTCTTAAAACAAATATCAGTAAAAAAATATTGTTTAATTAAAAAATTCTTTGCTATTCAAGACATTACAATTTGATACCTTTTTTATACTATAGAATCATTGGGAGAAGCTAACAGTTTGGCAGAAAAAGGGTGTATACAAAGTGATCTATCAGATTATACTGGTGACTTGATGAAGTCCAAGAGAAAAATAAAAGAAAAAAAAAATCACTCATATTCAGATTGTCCTGAGTATTCAGGTTATTATTTTTACTTGTTTAACTACCCGATTAAAAAATAATATATCTGCTTATTTTAAATTTGTTTACCTATAACAATAATTATTTTATTTAGATTCTGATGATGATAAATCTAATAAGTCTGATCATAAATCAATAAAATATGCAGGTTGGTCTCCTTCTCCAAAAAAGTTTAAAAGTAAGTTTTTATTTAATAAATACATTTTTATTGTGTTATTTTTAAGATGTAATATATAATTATTTTTTTAAAGCGCTTAAAAGTCAACAAAAACCATCAATAGTTAAACAGCTGTCTTATGATATATTGTCAAATGTGACTGATAACTATAAGAATGGTAAGTGATTATGCATTTATTATTCATTAATAATTATTAAAAATGATTTATGTCATGAAGGTAGAAGTATTAAATATATATATAATCATGTTCTGTTTTTATAGTGCCAAAATCAAACTTTGATAAAGATACAAATGAAGACATTGTTGAAGATAAATTAGAGTCTACTGATGTTCATCTTGGTAAATATTTTTTTATAATAATAAAGTTACTTTTTTTATTTAAATCTTAATTACATTTTAACAGATGAAAAAAGTTCAGAAGTATGTATCAGAACACCTAAATTATTAGACGTATCTATAGAAGCTGTAACTAAAGTAACACCAGGCAGTAGTACACCAGGTAATGCTTCAGTTTGATACCAAAATATACTTTATATATTATATATTTACTAATTTCATACAGGCAAAGATTTTCAAAAAGAAACTTTACACATGTTGGCATTTATCAAACATGAATTACGGCGTATCATAAATAATCAAAGAGATATGGCTCAAAGATTTGATTTTATTGAGATACGTTTAAATAGTATGCCAACAAAAGATTCTTCTGTCAACAATAAGATATTCTCATCATTAAATGACATGACTTGTTGCCCATTACCCATCGATAATATGACAGATCTTGATACATTGGAAAGTAATATTTTGGGAGATGGAGCATTCCGCACAAACTTAGTAAGAAACTATATCATCTTTGATTTAGTTATTAAATGGTTGAAATATTAAGTTTTAATAAATTTTAATTCAACTTTTGTAACCAAATAAATATAGTAATTGAAGCATTTACTAACCAAGGAAACAATAATTAAAAGTTCTGTGCTAAATAGTATTATAGTTGTATCAAGGATGCATTATTGCTGTATACCTACTTGTGTATATATATTCTAAAAAAGCAACTAAGTTAATTAATAACTAAATTACTAAGGATATTATAACAGTAATCATATATGATTATAGTTAAAGGACTTTGAAGAACATGGCCAAGTTTCTTTTACCTATTGACCATTATTTGTTTATTCGGTTATAGACATTATAGTATGGAGCAGGGATTCTCAAACTTTTATACACACTACCCCTTTTTATCAATACATTTTTTGGGTACCCTTTCTTAGTTACTAAACTAAAATATATATAAAAAAATTTAAAGACTTACATACATGTTGGCCAGATTTGTACCCCTTAAAAATTTTTGAGTTCCCCCTAGAGGTACGCCTTACCACAGATTGAGATACACTGGTATAAAGGATGAGTTGTATGTATATTGTAAATATTAGCTGTATCATGAGGGAGATGATGGTGATTGATCCTAGGTTTTTAAATTTTAAAGTTTTGCCTTTATAGGGTTTATAACATATAAAATAATTATTATAATATATTTACGCATTTTTTAGGTGAATGAATTATCTTATATTGGTGGAAAAAATGTTAAATCTATGGTAAAAAGGCTTATGGCTAAGTTATTTAAAGATGAGTTATTGAAAGACTTCTCATATACTGGGAAGAAAGGAAAACAGAAATTTTCAAATTTAGCAACTTGTTCCGTAATATTTGGTAAGATATATTATGACTATATACATATATATATATACAATATAAACATTGATTTTATTATGTAGTAGGCAACGGTGTGGGGAATGCATCATTTTTAAGTAATGGTCTTTCAAAATTTAGGGGTGGGTGCACCATGATTATTAATTTAGTAAGATTTGTAAGACAATAATGAAACTTGAAATAAAAATTAAATAATTTATAAATAAAAAATTGTTTGTATATTTATATAAATATTAATTTTAACTAATAAAATGTATAATATACTATACAATAACATTCATACAAACAAACATTCTAGTGTTGTAAATGCCATGTAATAACAGGTTTTATAAATCTAGTATCAGGATTGGATAATTTCATAAAAAATCTTTGCTCCTAATCTGCAAAAATAAGTTACTGTGTATGTTCTAGTTGTTTAGGTACTATTTATAATGAATATACTTAGCTATATTTATTTTTTACATTTTTTCTTATTTAATTTTTAGATGCCATTAAAACTCAAGAAAAGTTTAAACACGGTACTCAAAATGAAATGGAAGACATTATTAAATATGTACTTGCTCAAGCTCCATTTAACCTGAAGAGGCAAATTGAAAAAAATAACTAAATTAATTACTCCATTTTTATTGTTTGGTATTAATAAGAATAAAATGTTTAATTAATATTAATATCAGTTGTTTATTTTATATTTATTTAACATTTGTTTTCCTGGTATTCAATGTAAGTTAAGTTTGATGGTACATTTATTAACCATTGCAAAATCACAAATAAATATAAATTTATTAGTAATAATTTATATTTATTAAATATTTATTTTTGATTTTGATTAATAATTAACCAAAGGGTTCAATCAATATTTATTAGGAATTAGATAATATATAAAAATGTATTATCAATAAAAATCTTATAATTTATTAATCATTAAATATTTTTTTGAAATATTTATTTATCATTGTATAAACATATCATTGCTGTGTGGATATATATATATATACACTGTATAGGGTGGTATAACTATATAATATAACAACCGCGTGCTAACAAAATGAGAAATCGAACGCGAAAACACAAAACAAAAAACGTTGACCTCGCGTGTCGACGAAAAAAGCTATAATAATTTCCACTCCCTCCTCACCACCCCCGAAAGGCCCTACGACTCCGTTTACGCCCTCACAAATACTTGAAAATTGCATACGGTTTTAAGCACCGACGACGACGACCGCACCACCACTACCACCATCACCACCACTGCGCCTGTGGAGTCATTTAAGCGACACACGTGGGACATGACGTGCACCCCCTAACCATCCATAACCACCCCCGTGAAAGCGCTGACCGTTCGGACGGAATTCATTAGAAGCAGCCCGAGCGACGGCTGTTGCCGAAACACATGCGGGGCCCGGTAATGGACGAGACACAACTACACATTAGAGGTTCATTTTTGACGGGATTTCTCCTTTGATATTTTTTCTTTTCCGCTCCCTTCCCGGATTCCGGCCATTCCCTAGTCTTTATAACAATAATAATAATAATAATAATAATAATAATAATAATAATAATATAATACCGCCACATCCTACAATGCTCGACAGCCACTTTCGGCACAACCCGCGTGTCGTGCGGTCGAAAGTTTCATCTATATAATATTATATATTAAGACTCTCCCGCGGTGAAGTCCACTGCCAGATGATTGCTATTGCTATATTTATAATATTATTATTATACTTATGGTTTCAAGTCTGCTTTTTATCGACATACTCGTTAGCGAGAACACCCGAATCACTATTTCGTTTTATTTATCTTTTAATTTTTTAACTATTGTATAAAACCCTATGTCGTAATAATTAATGCATTGTCATTCCGTCGGCTTAGCCGTTTATTGAAACATTATGACATGTTATGTAAAAATAATATACAAAACAAGTTAACTGTTTTCATTGATTGAGTGTAGCAAGGAAGATTCGTTAGATTATTACAAAACAGAAATTTAAAAACTTTTGTTTAATAAAGTGAAATAACTTTTCGAAAAGTTTTCTGCGATTTGTTCATTGTTGTTTGAAACGTTAAATACCAAAACAGATAATAATAATGTCCATTCGGCACATAGATATATTTGATTGTAAAAATAATGTTGTTGGTTTAGAGTTTAGACGATAATGTTATACTGAGATGTTTTTAAACGTTTTATTTATATAGATGCAAACAATTTGTTGCAAATTACAATTATTATTACAATATTACTAGTACATGTAGGGTTTACTACAGTATGTTAACTCATAGTTTATGATTTATTAATTATTATGTAACACGAGAACGTCCAATTTACTATTTTTTTAAAGCATTTTTTACCTAATGTATAAAACGCTATGTCGTATTGTATTGTCATTCCATCGTTATAAGCCGTTTATTGAAACATGAAAATATTACATTACGTAAAATGAAATATATAAATAAATTAAACAGTTTTTTCCGATTAAAATAATTTGTCCTGTACGATCTGTTAGATTATTATGAAATAGAAAAAAAAATGTTTTTTGTTAAATAAAGAAAAATAAGTTTTGTTTAAATTGTCTACGATTTGTTGTTTGAAGTGTTAAATATCAAAATAGATAGTATAATATTATAATGTACATTCGGCGCACAGATATATTGGGTTGTAACTCGTAAAAATAATGTTGTTGGTTTAGATGATAATATTATACCTAGATATTGTAACATTTTTTATTCATATACATGTAAACATTTTATTACACATAATCATTGTTGTACTTTAAGTTTGTGGACGAGCACGCCCGATTTATTAATTTTTTTTACCTATATTTAACACGCTATAGTTGTATTGTATTGTTATTTCGTCGGTTTTAGCCGTTGATTGGAACATTATTAAATGTTACGCAAAATAAAATATACAAAACAAATAAACAGTTTCTATTTTTTAAATGTTATTATGAAAGTATTAAAGACGTTTTTCTAAATAAAGTGAAATAAGTCTTTGAGGAGTTGTTTGAGATTCATTATTTGAAACTTTAATAGCAGGTACCAAAGCAGATAATAATAATATAGTAATATCTATTTGGAAAACATATAATATATGAGGTTGGAAAAATAATATTGTGGGCTTAGAAAGTAATATTATTTTTCGATGCTTTTCATTTTTGTTCATACAATATGCAAACAATATATCCATAATATACCTATAACCATTGCTATTGTTAAACCGATTCGATTTTAATGAAAAAAAAAAACAAATAGTCGAGTCGTAGGTACTTATACGAAAATTGTCAACGGGGTGAATGCGAATAATACGGTATATAGTTATAATTCATTAATAATAATATAATATTCCGAAATATGCCTCGAGCTTTCCAGGGGGGGATGTCACATCAAGAAATGCATATTATATAATTCAGGTACAACTCGTATACAAGTACATATTATAGTATATATAGTAACAATTATTCCCTTTTAAATTATCAACTATCAGATATCCGTTTTACCCATGTAACTATATCAGCCGCCGGCAACTTCAAAAAGTGTGACAGACGGCTTACATATTATTATTATGGAAGCATAAACCTTTGTCGCTGCGATTAACAATTTCGCTTGAACGTCCCCGGCGCATATATATATATATATATATATAAGTTATATATCAAATGGTTCAGCTCAGGACTGTCGGAACTAAAAAACGTGGATATAACGATTCGAGTGAAAAGCAACGAGAAACACAATTTGTATTTTCTTATTAGTTAAAAAAAAACTAACGGTTAAAGTTTTAAAATGAGAACAAAGTTTCCAGACGATTCATTTAAAGTTGGGTATTAGTAAAAAGTGCAATTTTTCCGTCGATATTAAAACGATAAATAAAATATCGTCAAATGTTGTATACTGTACCTATGCCCTATATACTGGTATATATGGCAGGGGTCGTCAACTTTTACCATCTTTTAAACATTTTTAGTGTTCTGGTGATCGGCCTCTATTTATTTGTGTAATTACGGCATTCGCCAGAAGTGGTTAATTTAAGAGAGTGTGACATAGATCGGACTTTGTATTTTTAACGTATTGATAAGACTTTGGACTGGGTACAATATCTTTCTTCTGACCCACTTTTGAGAGTCCGATTTTCGCAACGTTTTGTTTATTTCCATGCAAACGCAAATAAACAACAATAAAAAAAAATTTAATTAAATTCTAATAAAATCTAACCTAACCTAACCTAACAAAATGTAGCACACTAGATATTTTTCCAGAGCACTATACCCAAAAACATATCCTCAATTTTTCTTGCAGAGTAAAAATATTTAGTAGCCATGCTACTATTAATATACGAAGAAAATTTTCTTATTTTGTAGAATGCATTTTTTTCGCTAATAGGTAAATACGTCTTTGCTTTGTATATAAAACGTAGAAGACAAATGTGTTTCAGATTAAGCAACAACCGATACTGGTATAATTAATTTTTAATTTGATCGACTAATTTTCCTCTATAATAATTAAAATATAGAATACTGAAATTCATTATTTGAAAAAAAAATAATTTACTTTGATAGTATTGAGTCAAATAATAATATAACAACGAACTCTTCTTGGTGCATTTTTTCCATTTGGCGAAGTTAATTTATCTATTCATATATAGACGTTGAAAGTGCATTATTTTTTTTTATATGTAATTTTTAACCTATATTTTGAAATATTAGTAACAAAAATAAAAATATAATGTAATAATACACATAAGTATTGTTGTAAACCTATAGAAATCGCAGGGAATTTTTATTGGATATTTTGTCGAGTTTTTAAGTAAAAATTTAAATCCCAGTCCTATAATTATAATATTGAATCGTTTTCACAGAAAGCTTATTAATGAGGGAACAATAAAATATAATATCCAATTAACACCCGAAAGCATATTTCGTTAGTTTTGTCCATTTGTTAAAATGTGATTGATTGTCATTTGTCATTGTTTATGAATTTTGCTATAACATCTACTTGCAATGAAGTGCTTTACCTGTTTGTTGTTACGGGCCATTAACAGCAGATCACGATGTAGTGAAGGTAGGTGAGTCCTTAAAAACGGCAGTACGAATGGTCGTAATGGAAAGTTTGTCATTTCTTGAATATTATGATGAAATTCTTCAACACTTATCAAATTGTTCTGTGAAAATAACGACCAATGAGTGAATAAATAAATAAATTATAAATTATATTTTGATTACATTCATTATTACTATTAATAATTAATTATTAAGCGAATACGGTTTTATTTACTGGATGATTCAATGATGATTGAACACTCATTATTTCAAAAAAAAATAAATATGCTTAAAAAAAAAATAATACCACCCGGATTCTAGTCGTTAAAAAACATTTAAAAATGAATTCTATATTTTATAATATTTTATCCTTAACATTTTTTATGGTTTTTTTCTTTTTTGATTGATAATATACAGTTTTAATTTCATATTCTAGAGCAGAATATTTTTTCTAAGTATTTCGATACACAAAAATCGAATTTGGGAAGAGATGATATTAAAACGGTATGTTGTATAAAAAAAAAAACATAAAAAAATTATGAGGTTAGAGAATATTTAAAAATAATATTTTAACGAATTGGAACCTTGTAAAAAAATATTTTCAAAAACATTAATACTTTTTGAATAATGAGTGACCTAAATTAAATTAATCACCTGGTATATAAGACAAAATGCTGCGCTGGCCGTTGAACTTAAGACAAATTGAGGTATACATTTAATTAATTTCCCTACTGTCTATATTCTTAGTTTGAAGCCTAACCTATGTAATTTTTAAATACTATTATTGTATCAAAGTTATATTGCACACAATATAATTAATAGATAAAAACAATATCGATATTTTAAGGTCGAGACAATAAAATATTAGAACTCGATAAACTAAATGACTATACACTATACAGCTTAACAAGAATCAAAACAAGTTATTGCTAAAAATCGAATTATATTTTATAAAAACGTGATACGTAATTCGTTTGTGTACTTACCACTAGGGTGAATATTTGACCCTTAACTCGTTCACTAGTCTGTGGTGATATTTGTCCACTGAATTGCACCAATGTGGTAAGAAATCTCTTGAGCTTGGAGTGATTCCTAAACGTGTCGGACGGCGGACTCGAACCTAAGTGGACGAGAGAAGAAAACGTTTACCAATATATAGTTATGTATAGATGACATTTTAGCTTTTTAATTCGTTCGTACTTTAAAGCTAGAAAAAATATTGTGCAAGGTGAATCGACATGCATGCTTACTCCCTTTTTTCCTCGATAATGCAGTTATATTTTTGTTATTTATGTGTGCTTTCCCTCACGCCATATAAGTACTACTGTTGGGTAGTTCCTTAAACTCACGTAAACTTAATTAAAAACACATAAACACAGCATAAATGCCTATTGTAAACTAACCTTACAGATTGTATATTTTCCAAATAAATGTTAAAAAAAAAAAATAAATATTTGTGCTTAACCGGATTTAGATTACTCATTTTTATAATAGTTTTTATAATAGTAAATTCCATAGAAGATGAATAGCAACCCCCCGTTGGTGTGAATTGCGCTGAATAATCCAGAAAATAATTTATAGAAATAATTATACATAAATTGGGATGAATAACTACCCTACGTACGTCATACGATAAGTCAAGTCAAAAAGGTTAATATTATATTTTATTTAATAAATTGAATACATCCATTTAAAAGTACATATAGTACAATAACGCATTATTATGAAATAATAATAATTAATCGAGTTACAGATATTATAAATCACCTACGCGTACACAAGACATTTCATTTTTATTAAAAAATCTAATTTTTCAGCTTTTTTTCTTATTGTAGTTACATTTTGTTGATTATACTTTATTGTTTTTATCAAAGAATAAAAGTTAATGAGTATTATCTTAAGAAATGAATTTTAAGTTTAGTTCAGAGGTGTGCAGGGCTTATAGGAGCAAAATATAGTCCCTACATCCTCCCCCTACCATGCCTAAATTTGAAGAACTAAATATTTAAATTCCAAGTATTATATTATATTACGTTACTATGTAAGTGAATGTAGATTATAATATATTCACTCAATTTTTCCAAATTACATTACATACATTCTGCAGTTACTTAAAGAAGGAGTTTTTATATTGTTGAAATTCATACTGTAGTGATATCTACATGTTGCAGCAGGAAATAAAAATAAGCGTAATAATAGTATTACCTGGGTAGTATCTCAATCGTCAACAATAATCTACATGACGTATATTTGATAATACAATAATTTACAATAATTTATTGTGCATAATATCTGTGCACTAAGCAAAGAACAGGAGTGAAATGATACGGATGAAATAAAAAACAACCTGGATAGGAGATAATCAAGCGATATAAATTCATAATAACGATATTTTATCGTCGCGAAAAGCTCAATATACGTACTTTCAGATTCGACGTCGATTCGGGCCGGTAACGGGTGCGTGGGGCTCAGCAAGTGTTCGCCCGACGAATCGCTGGTTGACGTCGACGAGAAGCCAGCATCTTTGGATTTGATTTTTGATTTACCTGAACGAAAAGGAATCGATAAAAAACAATGTCCTCGATTGCTATGATAATATGTAAATAGGTGCCTATATATATGTTTCTACATTACAACATCATAATAGTATTATTTCATCAATATTCAAAACGTTTCGAACTCGTGAGCACATACACCACTGTATGTATATCTGGTATACACGAGCGTTCAAACATCATAATATACGGAGTGATTCACCAGACATTACCACCCCCATGTTTTTCTTTAATAATGAAATTATTCATCAGCCGCGGGTTATTCGGCTACATACATGGTATCATAATATTGTATATGCACGCATTTAACGATATTAAATTAAATCAAACAAACCAATAAATAAATATACGTACAAGTCCTTCGTATACACACACACACACATATATATATATATATATATATATACGACCTATACTCGTAATACCGATTATTTTATTATTTTTTTAGCTTTTTTTAAGCACCGCTGCGAGGGCGCTCCCGCACACACAAAAGCCGCCGCTCGCGATCGCTTATATATATATCATATATGTGTGTATGTGTGTGTGTGTGGGCTCATAATATAAATATATATATATATGTACCAGCCACCAAAAGCCACGCCGGCTTTGCCCGCCCAGTACGTGTCCGAGTGTTCGTGACACGTCCATTAGCGGAATTCTGTTGTGTCATACACATAAACACACCGCTCCACCGCCGTCGCCGTCGTGTCTGCGAGTTATTAGTTTTGGCTGCAACTCCTGCGGTTGATGTGCTGCAGCAGCGACGACGACGACGACGACGGCGGCGGCGGTGGAGGAGGTAGGTGTAGTGTGTGTGTGTGTGTGTGTGTGTCGGAGGTGGTGGAGGCAACGTTTGTGACGTGGGTTTTGAGCGCGGGGGCGACGGCAGTGCGGTAAAGGAAAATACGTCAGTACGGGATGGGTGGGTGTGGTGCGGAGGTGACATGTATATTCGCCCCCCCCCCCCGAAGAAGTTTTCGGGGCCCCGAGCCCGCGGCGAGCTCCGAGTACGCGGTTTGTTGTATTCCGGGGCGATGCGTGCGACGGCCTATTCCGTCTTCGTTTAAATAACATATTAATATAGTAATAGGTATATTATATTATTATATAAACGGTGAGATATAGGTAACGCAACAATAATGACAATATTATTATGAAATATTAAGTATAAATGGTGATAAAGTCCTATCGGTGCAACCCAAACGGATACGGCATTCGACGAGAAAAATTAATTTTTTATAGGAGGGGGGTGTTTTACTTTAATATTGAAATACAACTTGCATGGGGGGGAGGGGAGGTCACACATCCACCAAGTCATACGTGGTGACATTAATATCCTATGGCTATGGTTAAACGCTATTAACTTTTGAATAATATTTGTTTTAAAATATGTTTATGTATAACATTTAATAATTGTGAAAATTAGCATATATTATAATTTTGAATTATACGGCTTATGGGGGTGTTCTAACACCCAACCCCTCCCCCACTAGCCAGTTATAATATAATATATAAAGAGTACCAAATGCTATTTACTATAGCTAGGTATAATAATTATACCTCGTAAGTTCTAATTATACATATATTTCGTTGTTAATAATTCTTGAAAAAGCGGTTAAATCTTATTAATTAATTAAATTAATCATCGTTGTAATCTCCACCAAAGAACCGCGGTGGTTTTTCGTAAACGGTTGACAGAATTCTTAATACAGCCCCATCATATGCACTGCATATTTCGCACCTCTAGAACAAGACTACCACAACTCATTAACTAATTCATTAATTTCGAGTCATAACTACTTTCAAATGTTAAAAAATTAGTTATATTGAATGCAAGAACTCCACATTGGATATCATTTTGGATTTTACCACTAAAAAGATGATTAATTCATCCAATTAATCAAAAACTCATTTTCGTCTGATTTCTTGAGTGGAAAACAGCAATTTTTAGTGTTGCGGCGGTATTACATTTCATGGTTTGTAATATTGCAGTCTGCAGACATTATATGAAAAAGTTAGTCTTGTATTTTCAAATGGACATTTTTTACTGTCACGTCTCAAAATATGACAATCTTGCAGTAACATATGAATTTTTAAAAGTCATAAGTCTTACTTTTTGGGTTATAGGGAGAGTTTCATAATATTTAATAAAGTATTTAGTTTTTTAGTTTCAAAACTTCAAATGCATAGGTAAAGAACTCCTTAAAATATCTTAGATTTTTTCTTCAAAACTTGACATTTTAAGTTGTGACAGTTTTGTTTTAAAGGTGCGAATTTTTGTTGCACTTATAAGGTGCAAGTATCGAGGGCCATACAATAATTTAAGTCTAATATTATTATTTTCATTTTCCTCACCGGTGATCAACCACTGCAGACATCAGTACATCACGCTTCAAACGCAAACTCACTGCAAGAAATCCTTATCCATTTCGAGTTGTGCACAGGTGTTTGTGAGAGCGTAAATACATTAAGATTATTCGACATACAAACATGAAACAACCCTCGATGGCTCGACGCCCCTACTTTTCACCCTAAATACCTTAAACTTTTGACCCACGTTAATCACATACATACTTATATACATCATATATACCGGGTGATCCATTTAAAGCCATACACTCTTAATTTCGAAAATTATTAACGTTTTTGAAAATATATTTTCCACTAAATTCCTATCGTTTTTTTTTTTTTTTTAATGTTTGCTTTTTTTATTGACAATATGCATTTTTAATTCCCTCTTTTTAAAGCAGAACATTTTTCCGGGGAACTATCAATATATAAAAATCGAATTTTGGACGAGAATGAGTTATAAGTTATAAAGTTTAGATGAGTGAAGTGGAGTGGTACAGCTGGATTACCGGCAAAATATTCGTCTATATTGCATTACTCCGATCATCAGTACCTTAAATACTTATAAGCTACTTGTCCGAAATTTTGTTTTTATAGATCGGAATACTTTAGAAATAATAATATTCTGCTTTGGAATATAAATTTAAAATATGATAATTTTTTATCTTCCAAAAGATTAAAAAAATATGATAACGATAAAAAATGGTAAGACGTACAATTATTTTCCAAAAATATTGTTTGAAATTACGTTGAAGAAATATTTTCAAAAACGTTTGGGTTTTCTGAATTCATAAATGTTTCACGTTATAAGGATTTTCACCCTGTATAGTGTATATATGTATATGCATTATACAACATAAAATATTATTAAAGTATTATTATAATACTTCCTCCCATCACGCTCGGCGCGCCGACTTAAGACGTCAGCGATAAGAAAACGTTCTAAATATGATATTTCACGGTTCGTAAACGATTTCTGGGAAAACCTCAATAACCCAAACACGGCGTTCAAGTCCTATATAAACCCGACGGAAAGCTTACTCGTTCAATATTTTTTTAGTTAATCCATGGTATTAGAGATTTGGTTCACGCACAGCCACCGCAATATATATTAAAAATAATTAGTTCACCAAACATGAACGTTTTGAATTCCAAAGCATATTACACAATTATGACATTTTTGATTGAGATATCGAACACAGAAATATCGCTAGACAAATTTGAGTTAAATTAGAGAATAAATAATATTTAATCGTAGAGGTAAACCTATATGCGTTTAGAAAAAAATAAATATTTTTCTTATACTAATCGAACAATGATTATATACTCAGGCGCTCTCGCAGGGTCTGTTTGAAAGTTCTCGCGTGACTATAAATATACGAGCTCACACGTTAAGCCACAGAACCCAGGTGCGCGCCATGTGGGCCGAAGGTCTGCAGCTATAAATGTGTCGGACCGATCGAATATAAGGACTTCCGTTTTTCCCGGTACTGGCTGCAAGGCCGTCCCGGACAATCTAAAATTGTACAAGCAAATCCAAATCGGAACGTCATCGTACGTGTACCACTAGTGGTATACGATGTGGAAAGCTCAAATACGTGGTACGCGAAGAAAAACCTACCTTATAAAAAATCGAATCATTTTTCACATTAAATATAATTAGGTTTATTATTTGATATTAATTAAAATATAAAGTATAATAATTGTACATATTATTTTTGATTTTATTTTTGCATTAAATGTAGTCATAATTTCGAATTTTCTAATAAAATAAAATTCCATGAATGTGAAATAACGTATAATATATTTTTGATAAGCATAACAAAAAAAAAATGTCATTTGGTCAAGTCACATTTAAAAAGGTTGAGAACCGCTGTTCTAGACTAAGGGTGTCGGAGTCGGCACGTTTTTAGTACAAAAACATGATATGTGTTACGGCAAAAACTCTGAAGCCCCGTAGTCGGATTTGGTTAGTTTTTTTTTATTTAAAAGAAGAAAACATTTTTCTGGTCGGAAATTAAAGCCCGATTTTCAAAATAATAATTATAGAAGCTAAAATATGCATTTGAATAAAGCACAATATTTGTTATTTTTTTCAGACACATTTTTCAAGTACTATTCAAAGTAAAATGAGAATTTAGGCTTTGGATCCGATTTGAAAAAAGTTCTCATCGTTCAGAGAAAAAAATTAATCAGGTATCAGGTGTATCTAACCTAACCATAGAGCATTATCATAGTCCCCCCCTACCCTGTTATACCTAATGTAATTTATTACATTGATTCAAATAGTGTTGGATATAATATTACTATTATTATAATGATTCTCTATACAGATATCGTTGTGATTACTCTCGGATATTGTCAAAAACATAATATTTAATCAGGGGTGGAAAAAAAATGTTATTGAATAAAAAAAAACGATTACGAAAAATCCTAAAAACTGAAAAAATGGAATAACAATTAAAGAAATCAAAAACGAAAACGAAAAAAAAATAATATTTCTGTTATCGAAAATTTGATAATTCTGATAACTAATACTTGTTGACAATGGACAATACTGACATATTTACAAGAACAAGTCATTCTTATTTATGACTTAGGTATACGTTTAAAACTTACTATTTATTATAATTATTCGATAT